GAGTGGTATAAGACCTTCCCTGTCCTCTAGCTGCTTATATTCTAACTAGAGGCCCAGTGCATGAAAATCCATGCACTGGAGGGGAGGGGGCTCCCTGAGCCCAGCCTGCCCCCTCTCACAGTCTGGGAGCTCTTAGAGGCGGGAGGCGGCCCAGTAATCAAGAGAAGGCAACGTGCCATCACACTTTTGCTGCTGCCACTGCCTGCAGTGCAAGCCTTGGCCAGCCCCGGTTACCCTGGGCAGTTGGGGGGCTGAAGGGACTGGGGAACTATGGAGACAGGCGCACAGAGCAGCTGGACCCACCTGGTTGGTGGGACTAGCCATGCTGAGTGCCTGCCACCCGGGTGAGGCTGAGAGGACTGGGTGCCACCATCTTCTGGCTGTGGGCACCACCATCTTTGAGGATGTGACAGTCAATTAGCATAGTTCCTCCTTATTGACTGTGAGTGCTGCCATATTTGCAATAGCATGAGGGTCAATTAGCATATTCCCTCTTTATTAGATAGGATTAAAGTGCGAGATGTGCACCTAAGAAACAAGGGATGTTTTTAGGATTTGTGAAACAATGAGTTCAGAGAAAGGGGGTTAATGTCAGGCAGAGCAAAGTTGGGGAACAGATGAACCCTGTTTTGTTCACTGTGTGCTCAGCACTTTGCACTGTTTCGTTCAGTGTGTCCGTGAAAAATCTCACAGGATGGATGAATGAGAACAAACTACTCATAATTCTGCCAGAGGGAATCATTGTTGACATGTCAGTGCATTTTTTTTTCTTTTTCTCTAAATATACAATAAACATATATTTTAAACTTCAGTAACTTTTTTTTTTTAAAGTAGCATGTTCATCTCAGAAAAAGGAGAAAATGCTGATAAGCAGCGTAGTACCAATAGCTAGCATGCTTTATGCTCATTCTTTGTCAGGCAAAACACGTTTCTCAGCTAGTGGTAATGACTCACATTTGGTAGATATCCTTCATACAGGAATCTCTTTTATTCTAAGTGTTCACTTTTTAAAAATACTTGGGCTCAAGATTCTGCATTATTTAACATTATCTTTCAACATTTTTCCATGTCTTTGAAAATTCTTTTAAGAATCACTTTCAGCTGGGACCGGTTTGGCTCAGTGGATAGAGCGTCGGCCTGCGGACTCAAAGGTCCTGGGTTCGATTCCGGGCAAGGGCATGTACCTTGGTTGCGGGCACATCCTCAGTGGGGGGTGTGCAAGAGGCAGCTGATTGATAATTCTCTCTCATCGATGCTTCTAACTCTCTATCCCTCTCTCTTCCTCTCTGTGAACAATCAATAAAATATATATTTTTTAAAAAATCACTTTCAGTGACTGTTATCCTATCCAGGGAGTTACTCTAACTGGTACCAGGCCAGGCAAAGACCCTACCCTCTATCTGTGGCTGATAGGGACTCCCTGTAGGTTTTTAAAAAATTCTCAATATGTTTGTATTGATTTTTATAGAGAAAGGAAGTGAGACGGGGGGGGGGGGGATAAGAAACATCAATGTCAGGGACACATTTTAGTTTTTTCGTTTTCTTTTGTTGTTATTTAATAAACTTTGTTTTAGAACAGTTTAGATTTATAGAAAAATTGAGACGATAATAAGAGGGTTCCCATATATGTCGCACCCAGGTTCCCCCATTATGAACATCTTACATTACTATGGTCATTTGTCACAGTTAATGAACCAGCACTGATACATTATTATTCACTAAAATTCAGATTTTATTCAGAATTCCTTGTCCTTTTTCTGTCCCAGGAACCCATGCAGCAGACATTACATTTTATCATGCCTCCTTAGGCTTCTCTTGCCTATGACAGTTTTTCAGATTTTCCTTGTTTTAGATTACCTTGACTGTCTGTTTTTTTCCTTTATTGGTTTTTATTTTTATTAATATAGTTTTATTTATTTCAGAGAGGAGGGAGAGAGAGACTGGGAAATGAACAGTGACCTCTTGGTTCCTGGGTTGACACTCAGCTGCTGAGCCACACCAGCCAGGTGACCTTGACAGTTTTTTTTTTTCAATAGCCAGTTTGCCTCTTTTTTTTTTTTTAATTTCTTTATTAAGTTATTACATATGTGTCCTTATTCCCCCATTACCTCTTTGATAATTTTGAAGAGTACTGTACTGGGCAGAGATTTTGTAGAATATCTCTCAAGTGGAACTTTTCTGATGCTTTTCTTTCTTCATTTTTCTTCTGATGTTTTTCTTGTTAGATTGATGATCCTGTGGGGAAGACCAGAGGTAAAAACGCCATTGCACCACATCATATCAAGGGGACATACTATTAACTGGATCTTAATTTTCATCACTTGGTTGAAAGAATGTTAAGGATTCTCCCCTGTAACGTTACCCATCTGCCCCTCCCCCAGGAAGTCTCTATGCACAGTAGGGGTTTATGCTCCCCTTGAGGGCGGACTATGTACATATATTATTTGCATTCTCCATGGGAAATCTGCCTATTATCCCCCTTTTATTTGTGCACTTGATCATTTATTTATGTCAGAATAGACGTGTGGATATTTATTTTATACTTTAGGCTGTGGTTCAATAATTCTGTATTTTGCTGCTCACATTGTTCCAGATTTGGCCTTTGGAAGCTCTTTCAGTTGGCTCCTGTGTCCATTTCTCATATCTCCACCTTCCTCTTCTTTTATTTGCTTATACTTCCTTCTGTTACTATAAAATGCTACAGGATCCATCTTATGTATTTCCTGACCAAGTCCTAAAATTAATCATTTCCCCAAGGAGAATGTCGGGGCAAGTTTAAATCTTAGCAAATGTGCAGTCAGTGTGGCTGGAAAGTGATCTGACAGGTGGGCAGTGAGACTCAACCCACCTTAGGAGGGTATTTTCCCAGCAGAAGCAGCCAGAAGTGCAAGTCCTAACTGAGAAATAGATGACTCACCAGCTCCCAGGTTGTCTCCTCCCTCCCCCTCTTGCTGACAAGACTGTCCCTAAACCAGCTCCCACAGAGGGACCGAGGTCAGTGTCCCCGCCCAGTGGGGTAGAGAAGAATGCCTGTCCCCGGCCAAGTCAAAGCTTTTACCCAGGCCCAGCTGACACCTCCCCCATCTGTGTATCATATATACTCCTCCTGCCTACAGAAAGTATTAAACAGGATTACTCTTACATTTACAGTTGCAATTAAACTATTATTACAACTTGGGTAAGCCTGGCCCGAGTGGCTCAGTGGTTGAGTGTTGACCTATGAACCAGGAGGTCACAATCTGATTTCTAGTTGTGGCACATGCCCACCCAGGCTGTGGGTTCCAGCCCCCAGTGTGGGACATGCAGGAGGCAGCCGATCAATGATTCTCTCTCACCATTGATGTTTCTGTCTCTCTCCCTCTCCCTTCCTCTCTGAAACCAATAAAAATATGTGTATTTTTAAAAACTTGGGTAAAAGGACAAGAGCACTGTAAAGAACAGCATGTGTGTGTGTGTGTGTGTGTGTGTGTGTAGGCTGGGTCAACTTGTCTGCATTCTCCAAATCACAGATTGCAAGCACCAGAAGGGCTTTCAGAAATAAACGCACTTACGGGTTAAGTGATTTCTCAGGAAGTCACACAGCAAATGAGCCGAAGAACTAGGAATACTGTGTCAGGTCTCCTGGTGTTAAAGTCCCCATTCTTTCCTCCCTTTCCAGGACAGTGAAAAGAACAGTTTTCCAGACCTTCTGTGGGACACAATGGCAAGACAACAGCTTGGGGCCTTTTTCACTCGCTAGGTGAATAAACATGTGCGGATGGGGCTGAGAAGTCTTTGGGACTATAATTAAGGGTTATTAACATCCCCAGATGTTTGGACACAGGAGAAATAGGATGTAGACATGGGGATATAGAAGTGGATAGTGGGGATCCTACCATTTTAATGGTTAAAATCAGCAACTTTCTAGCTGATGTCCTCAACTTTTGAATAAAAATAAAAGAAGAATAAAGAAAGAAAAACATAAAAATCAGGGATTCTGAGTCTTTTCCCAAGAGATTCAGAGATTTGGATTTGTGGGTTTTTATACTGCCAACTGTTTGAGAAGTAGGATTATCTATTCTCTTTAATATTCATTGCCTTCTCCCCCTCCCAACCCTCTCCCTGCAACCACTCACGAAGGGCACATTTTGAGGGATTTTGTATAGGCTGAAATGAGACTGCCTTGGAGTTTAGAGAAAGGATTCTGGGCCTGATGTCACTCGGTGGTGTGGCTGCAATAGAGATGAAATTAGCATCAGGTTACTCTTTACTTGCTATCCTGGTGAGGTCCGTAGGCCACCTGCTATACTTTGTCTGTCTATAAACTCCCTAGGGTAAGGACAGTGAGTGGCTCAGAGTCGCGTGTGCTTTTGATGATGATGATGAAGAAGAAAATATTAGGGGCATTTCGGACTTAGAAAATATTCACATGGAGAATTGTACTTAAAGATCCCCCAGCTGGACTCTCCAACAGCGCAGAGCAAAGGTGTTGAAGGCCTGCCTTCTGAGGAAGCTGTGCCCCAAAAGGGAGTACGATACATTCCTGACTGTTTTGTTCACGCTTGAGTGTATTTTCTGCCTCTTCACGGTATGTATGTATATATACAATTAATTTTTTACAGAGAGGAGGGGAGAGGGATAGAGAGTTAGAAACATCGATCAGCTGCCTCCTGCACACTCCCTACTGGGGATGTGCCCGCAACCAAGGCACATGCCCTTGACCAGAATCGAACCCGGGACCCTTCAGTACACAGGCCGAAGCTCTATCCACTGAGCCAAACCGGTTTCGGCTCATCTATATATATATATTTTTTATTATTGATTTTTATACAGAGAGGAAGGGATAGAGATAGTTAGGAACATCAATGAGAGGAGCTCCAGTGGCGCAATCGGTTAGCACGCGGTACTTATACAGAAACATCGATGAGAGAAAGTCATTGATCAGCTGCCTCTTGCATATCCCCTATTGGGGATATGCCCGCAACCAAGGTACATGCCCTTGACCGGAATCGAACCCGGGACTCTTCAGTCCACAGACCGACGCTCTATCCACTGAGCCAAACCGGTTTCGGCTCGTCCATATATTTTTAAAAATAATTCTTTAATTGATAAAATTATTATCCAGACTTTGTATACCCGTACAACCATATGTCAGGTTTGTTTTAATTTTAATAAGTTTCATTTGAACTAGCTGCCCTTGGTGCTCCGCAACTTGCTTCCTCTTCCTAAAGACACATCCTCCATGTCTTTCTCTGGAAAAGCACCTCCATCTGCCTCCTTTTGGCGATTCTTTGTCCTCGCACCTGGGCGATTCTCCGAGCGAGCGAGCGTCCTTTCTCCGCCGGCCTGACACCCGGCGCGGCGCCCGCAGGGGGCGGGGCGGAGGAGGCCCGGCGGTGGGCGGGGCCGGCCCACGGGGTATGCAGATGAGGTGGGCGGGTCCGGGCCAGCTGGGATATGCAGATGAGGTGGGCGGGGCCGCGTATAAGGGCTGTTAGCGGCCGGCGGCGCGCCGAGCCTCGGCGGACCCAGTCGGAGGCGGCGGCAGCGGCGGCGGTGGCGGCGGACCCGGCTTCTCCCGGCGCACGGAGCCTGGCGCCCGGCCGTCCCCGCAGCGGGCCATGCCCCCGCGGGAGCTGAGCGAGGCCGAGTCGTCCCCACTGCGGGCCCCGACCCCTCCCCCGCGGCGGGGCAGCGCGACCACGGAGCTGGGCATCAAGTGCGTGCTGGTGGGCGACGGCGCGGTGGGCAAGAGCAGCCTCATCGTCAGCTACACCTGCAATGGGTACCCCGCGTGCTACCGCCCCACGGCGCTGGACACCTTCTCCGGTAGGTTCCCCGCCGCCGGGGGCCTCAAACCTTACACTGAGCACCGGGGGGCGGGGGCGGGGCGGCGGGAAGCCCCTCACAGGGAGGCGAGCGGGGCCGGAGGTGGCGCTGTGAGGCCGCCCTCGCCGACTCCCCCCCTCCCCCCCCTGCAGTGCAAGTCCTGGTGGACGGGGCGCCGGTGCGCATCGAGCTCTGGGACACGGCGGGACAGGTGAGAGGCTGGGGTGGCCGCTGCCGGCCTGGGGGGAGGCGGTCCGGAGGCTGGGAGGGCCCCAGAGGCATCAGGCGTGGAGGAGGCCTTGGGTCTCTAGGGTTTCCAACCCCCTGTGGGAAGCGGGTTCCCGCTCCCTGCGGTGGGGAATAAATAATCCCACTCATGAGCGGCCTGGCCTTCCCGCCCCAGGAAGACTTTGACCGCCTGCGCTCCCTCTGCTACCCGGACACCGACGTCTTCCTGGCCTGCTTCAGCGTGGTGCAGCCCAGCTCCTTCCAAAACATCACGGAGAAATGGCTGCCCGAGATCCGCACCCACAACCCGCAGGCGCCGGTGCTGCTGGTGGGCACCCAGGCCGACCTCAGGGACGATGTCAATGTCCTGATCCAGCTGGACCAGGGCGGCCGCGAGGGCCCCGTGCCCCAGCCCCAGGCTCAGGGGCTGGCTGAGAAGATCCGGGCCTGCTGCTACCTCGAGTGCTCCGCCTTGACCCAGAAGAACTTGAAGGAGGTGTTCGACTCTGCCATTCTCAGCGCCATCGAGCACAAGGCCCGGCTGGAGAAGAAACTGAACGCCAAGGGCGTGCGCACCCTCTCCCGCTGCCGCTGGAAGAAGTTCTTCTGCTTTGTGTGAACAGCCGCGGCGGAGGGGGGAGCAATGGACACAAAGCCACGGACACCCGGAGCCGGGGGTAGGGACTACTGGCGGGGCCAAGCTACCCCGTGAGACTCTGTTCCCTTCTGAACTCTATGGGGACGGGGGCCTCGAACTGCCCACTCATGCCGGGTGGAGCCTCGGGCCTGGCAGAAGGAAGGCTGTAAGGTGGATTTCCGTGGTTCCAGGCTTACAGAGAGATCCCAGCACTTTGGTTTTCACGGGATGGTCCTAACAGTGTCGGCCGCCTCCAGGCAGTTTGGGATCCGATTCCCAGCTTCTTGTCGTGGGCCCTCAGGTCACGCTGGCTGAATTAGGAGCCCCGGTGGTGGTCCCACCTCCTCCTTGGCACGGGGGTGAGGTAGAGCCCAGGGAGTAGCTGGGCATCTTGGAGAGCTGGGAGGTGTCGTCCAGCCCTCTTCGGAAAGTTTGGGATGGACTGTGTGAGGTAGAAATCAGTGAGAGGTCAAGAGGGAGCGGAAAATGAGGCTTTTGGAGCCTTGAGACTGGAGTTCTGGAAGGATAAGGCAGATGGATGAGAGAGCCGGGTCTGGGAGGAGGAAGAGGAGAGCAGGGAAGTGGAGCAGCTGAGGAGTAAGACTGATACCGCGGCTGCCCTCAACCCCCAAGGCCAGGGCGGGCGGGGCTGGTCCCTGGGAAGAACTGGGTCTCAGGGCTCCCTAGCACTGCCCAAACTGGCTGGGCCAGGAGTGGGGCAGGAAGTGAGAGAGACCAGGCCCAGCAGAGAGGGGGGAGAAGCTACAAACCAGAATCTGAAGGAAGAAGGGGCCGGGGATCACCTTTTTCTCCAAGGTCGCAGCCTAGAAGGTAGGGCCATGCGGACTGCAAATAAAGGTTTACGTTTCTGAAGCTGCTGGCTGTGTGTCATTTCTTGAAATGATGAACCCATGGCTCTCCCACAGCCCCCCTCAAGGCCCAGTGGTGAGGATAGAGACTGTTTGGGTACCAGAGGACTGAGGCTAGATTGAAAGGTGGGGCCTGGGCTAGATGGGACAGTGTGATGGGAACCGGACTGGGGGGGGGGGCAGGTTTGGGGCTCCCCGCTTGGGGCTTAGCTGGTTCCCAGGAGAGGTAGCGTGGGAAGCAGCCTGGAAACGGGTTTCCCCAGGTGTCAGCGCCAGAGCTGCTTTCCCATGACCTCACTGGGCGGGCGGTGCCCCTCCCCTCTCCCCCTCCTTCCCAGAGCACCTTGCTCAGTGCTGAGTTCTGGGGCAATCCTGAGCCCTCTAACCCTCCTTCTCAGGTCCTAACAGTCCTCAGGGCCCCGGGCCCCGGGCGGGGGCTCCGTTTCAGGGCCCCGGGCCCCGGGCGGGGGCTCCGTTTCAGAGCCTGAGCACGAAAGAATCCCATGCAGCCTGAACGGCAGCAAGCGGCCACACTTCTTGGGCTTGGGTTGATTGGCACTCAAAGCTCACGTGAGGACCTAGTCACAGGACCAATTGTCAATCATTTAAATAGCAATTTGGGCTCAGAAATCCTATGGGAGTGAGGGTTCATTTTGTGAGGAACCTGAGAGGAGCAGGAATCCAGAGAACATTCCCTGAAATTGGAGCCGGAAGGAACGTTAAAAGGGCGCCTTGGCGGGGGTGGGGGAAGAACACTTTATTTCACCCGTAAGGGAAGTGAGGCCCAGAGGAAGGTAATGTCTCACTGATATTACCCCGTGGCTGTAAGAGCACTTTGCACTCTCTGGAGTCAGGTCCATGGGTAAGTGTTACTCCTGCGGAGAGGGCACGCCTCAGACACCTGTTAAGCAACTGCTGGGCCAGGTGAGCACTCACCCTGTCTTGGTCCAGTTCCCTCTGTAGGAAGTTACAGCTGTGTGTGTGTGTGTGTGTGTGTGTGTGTGTGAGTGTGTGTGTGTGTGTGTGTGTGTGTGTGTGTGTGTGAGTGTGCGTGTGTGTGTGAGTGTGTGTGAGTGTGGTGTGTGTGTGAGTGTGTGTGTGTGAGTGTGCTGTGTGTGTGTGTGAGTGTGTGTGTGAGTGTGTGTGTGTGTGTGTGAGTGTGTGTGTGTGTGTGAGTGTGTGTGAGTGTGTGTGTGTGTGTGTGAGTGTGCGTGTGTGTGTGAGTGTGCGTGTGTGTGAGTGTGTGTGTGTGTGTGTGTGTGTGCATGTGTGTGTGTGTGTGAGTGTGTGTGTGTGTGTGTGAGTGTGTGTGTGTGTGTGTGTGTGTGAGTGTGCGTGTGTGTGTGAGTGTGCGTGTGTGTGAGTGTGTGTGTGTGTGTGTGAGTGTGCGTGTGTGTGTGTGAGTGTGCGTGTGTGTGTGTGAGTGTGCGTGTGTGTGAGTGTGTGTGTGTGTGTGTGTGTGTGTGTGTGTGTGAGTGTGTGTGTGTGTGTGAAGAAGAGAATGGCTGAGGGACGGAAATCCCAGCCAAGTGAAACCTCAGATAATCCCCAAGATTAGTTTTAGCCAAGACTGTCCGGCTCCTGCCCCACCAGGGCCCGTCCCCCAGAGCTCCAGCTACTCCCCTCCCTCTGTGCCCTTGCCCCTTCCGGTGAAGTGCTGAGCTGCCCACGGCAGCCAGGTCCTGAGGGAGTCTCACACTCCAGCTGCACAGCCTTCTGTTACCTCAGCCCGGCCTGACACATCCCCTGCTGGGGCAGAGACCTGGCTTCACGATAGGGTCTGACATCAACCATGACCTTAGGCAAATCTTTTCCCTTCTCTGTGCCTCAGTTTCCTTATTTGCAAAATGAAAGACTCAGGACTCTGAATTAGAGGTTTTTTTAAACTGCTCCAAGGGTCCTTTGATGTACCAAGGATCGGGAGAGGAAGTGTAATCAGATGACCTCTGCCCTGCGCCCCCCTTCCCCCCAATCTTTCCCTTTGTCTCTGATGGTACCAGCCATCCACATCACTGTGTCCTCTCCTGCTGGGTCGCTGAGCCGGGTCAGAACCTCCATCAGCTTCACCCCTATGTCCCTCCAACACTACTGCCTTCCCTCTGGCACCTCTGCCTCAAGACTGTTACCAGCTCTTAGTGCCTGCAATGAACTCCCAGCTTCTCATTTCAGCGTTCAAGGCCTGCTCAAATCTGACCCAACCTGGACTAGGCCAGCCAGTCAGTGATCCCCACTTCCTGATTCCCAATTATTTCTGGAATTCTGACTCCAAGTCTTTGCTTTTGCCAAATCCTCTAGTTTGGAAAGTGTCCCTTACTCATGTCCTGTTTCTCCTCTAATCATCTTCCAACACTGCCTTCTCCAGGAAATGTGTCTTACTGTAGCAGTGGCCACACTGCTCCCTCAGCACATCGAAGACACTGAACTGGGTCACGCACTCAAGTTGTATCTCCCCAGCTGCACTGAGAGAAAGTCCCACTCATGCCCCTGTGCTCTCACAGGATCTTGGGCTCAA